TGTTTGTTGAAAAATAAGTATCTCTATAATGGCCTTTTCAAAATGAATGTAATGATATTTGTAATTAAATATAATAATAATAACACCTCCTTGACTTGCTTAAGTATTATAACATGCGACATGATAGAAATGTTAATTATAATGAATCTTAAATTGTAATTAACTATGGTTTTTGAGGAAAAAAAATCATATATAAAGTTTATGTAGAATCAAAATTTTATTAAAAATGTCTTTTAAAACAATTAAAAGAAGTCAATCTCTAAATTTAATTTACTTGGTATTAGTGATTTTAAATTTATACGAATTAAAGGTGAGAAAAAAAAATTACATTACTTTTATAAATAATTGTACAAGGTTTGTTATATTTATTTCCTAATAAACTAAGATTAGTCTCTTGAAATATTTAAACATTATAATAATGGAGTTAAAAATCCACATAATAAAAAGATAAAGATAATAAAAAGTGATAAAGGTGAAGAATAAAATGCACCTTTTAATGACTTTTATTTTTAAAATATTATTATCGTTAAAACTATGACTCTTTATTCACCTCAATAAAAATGATATTATTGAATATACAAACCAAACTCTTAACAATAATGAATGTCTTGTTGATAAGTTTGGAAGAACTTTAGAACTTACGAAGAAAAAAATTATGAAATCCAATTATATACTTAATAAGTTAACTCACAATAAGTTAGAAAGGACACCATATAAATTGTCAAACTAAATGAGATCTTTTTACAAATACCTTAAAGTGTGGGAGTGTATTGTAAAAATGATGGTACTTGATCTCAAAGAAGACCAAGATATGACATTAAACTATAGATTGTATATTTATTAGATATACTTATCATAAAAATGCATATCAGTTTCTTGTATACAAGTCAAGTATTAAGAATATTAATTCCAATGCAATAATAGAATCAAGAGATTTACATTCTTTAAAGATGTGTTTTCTTTGAATAAAACACAAGAAACTCGTTTATTTAAAAGGAAAAATTAAATAAGCTTAAATAGTTATCATCAATAGAAGATGATGAAATTGAGGGGGGGAGAAAAAGGGGAAAAATTATAAAAAAAAAAAAAGAATCCTTATTTCTAACTTGTTAAAAAAAAAAAGCTTGAAGTTATTTCAAGACAATATCCTACTCTCAAACTTTCTATTGAAAAGAGATAGTCAATAATGAGATTGAGTTTATTATCCAAAATCATCCAAGCAAACTAGTGGATCTTCTACCTAAAAATAAACTATTAGGTCATAAGAGGAAGATAAAAGTTGATGAAACCATTAAAAAATATATAAAACAAGATTTATTATCAAAGGATTTATATAACAAGAAAGTGTGAAATATTTTGACACATACTCACATGTGTTGAGAATAACTTCTATATAAATATTAATAGTCATTGCAACTATTAACAAATGTGAAACACATCATTCTCTAGGCTTTTTTGTTTTTCCCACCAATAAGTTGGTCTTGTCTTGTGGGCTATCAATATTTCAGTTTTATTATAAAATAAATAATCTTGAATGATGGAAATCTTAATGTTTGTTATGAATTGTACAAGATTATATATTGCATACTCGATTAGCAAATTAAGTATATTTACTAATAATCTATGTATGGATAATTAAAAAGAAATAAATAAGATAATCAAATATTTGACATACATCTTAGGTTACGAGTTGCACTATATTAGGTACTTGATGGTAATTGAGGGTTATAATAATGCAAATTGGATATATAACACTAAGGATTCAAAATCCACTAGTGAATAAATTTTCAAACTTAGAGAGGCATTATATTTTGAAAGTCCGGTAAAAAAATATACATCACAAAATCTTTGATAGAATTAGAGTTTATTACTTTTGATAACGTTAGAAAAGAAGTCAGATAACTTTGAAATTTCTTAGATGATATTTTATGGTGGTCAAAGCTAGCGCTAGTATTTTGTGTCCGGCGTGACTCCTAGTTAGCAATTGGAAGGGCACAATATAGTATATATATAATGGTGAATCTAGTTATATTTATTATAGATATAATATTGTTATACACTTTCATTAACTATATAAAATCAAAAAAAAAATATTGTGAATTCATTTACTACATGCTTTATAAGAGAGCTTGTATGTAATTTATTGAAAAAAATGGACTTAAAACCTTTAAAGATAAAATAATATTGCAATAATAACCTTACCTAACTAATAAGAGATTCTATAATATAGGTTCAAAGAAAAAGCTAAGTCATGTAACACTTTCAATAGCACTAAAAAATAACAATTTATTATTGTACTCCTAATGATTTTCATATATTAGGTTATCATGTGGAAAATAGTAGAATAGTTTAAATGAGAGATGACCTATATAAGTGAGAAACGTGATTTTTTTTTAATTTCAAAAAACTATATTATCTAAAGTACTCATGAAACCAAATATTATTTAGGATCAAAATGAATACAACTATAATAACTTAAAAAAAAAATCTAGAAAGAGAACTATATGTGTACTATTATTGTGGTTTACACAAAAAAATAAATAGTTTGAGACATTATGTTCACTAATTAACCAAGTAAATTTGATAATACTTCACTAAAAAAGTTTCAAAGTCAAAAGCTATATATCCCATAGTAATCTTCTAATTCATTTCTCTTTATGATTCCTTATACTTTTATATATTGGCTAGCCAATTTTCATTCATGTAATGGGTTATTGAAAAATTTTGTCATTGTATTTATATAGTGTCTAAAACCATTAAGAGTGAATGTAAAATTAATTATTATTAGTTTTTTTATATCTTGTTAGATTCATTGATCTTGCATATTCAATGAATTATTAGGAATTAATTCAATTCCAATTAATATTCTTATATTGATCGATTTTACAAATTTAATGTGTTGCTATGAATAAATTCTAATTAATTTTAAATTAATTCTACATTTATAGCCCCTAAGTGAAGAGGTTTTATTTTTAAAAAAAAAAAAAGAAGGATGAAAACAAATAGAAATTTTTGCTTTTTTTGCCTTCTTTGCTCTTGTGCTCACATTATTTTATATTTAAGTTTTATTATTGTAGAGAGAAATTTTATGAAAGTTTTTATAGTTTATAGACCCTGATTAAAAGTGTATTCTTTCAAGATAGTGTTGTTTAATCCTAGAAGGCAAGTTGCATTAAGATCATTTTCATTCATTAAAGAATAATTTAGTCTTAAAAGATAGAAGGTATAATCTCAATAATAATTGTTTTTCATATCTTGTTTTTATCCTAAATTCTACCATTCTACGTATAAGTACTTTGTATAATTATATTTATCTTCAGTTTAATAAATTATTCATATTTTTATATTATCTTACAAGTAGATATTTGATTTTTAAATAGTTTGTATAAAAGGCTCAAGAAACTTTTAAATCCATGTAGTTCCTCCTTGAATTCATGTAAATGACACATTTGTTTTCAACCAAGACAAATTAAAAAATTGATCAAACTTATCTAATAATAGTAACAAAAAAATTCTAAATTTTGTTATAAATCATATAATAAATTTACTTCGTTGGTTATTTTAGATTTAATTGAAATTTTAAATATATTATAAATCAATATGTTTATATTTTACATTAACACCCATGTTGCCCTTTGTTAATGTTTTCAAAGCAAGCTAGCCAGAAAGTCTATAGTTTGAAATTAACATACAAGATGATGTTGCGGCTATAACAAGAAATTGACATAAGAGAGCATAGAGTCTTAGGTTATGGAAGAAAAATAAAAGTTGAGTTTTTTGTATTGTTAACGCAGGTATGCAGAGGTAAAATATTAAATATCTCCCATCTTAATCATAAGCAAGTCCTCTAGGTCGATGAATTAGCTTTCATTAATATAGCGATTGAATTTTTGAAGCATATTATTTCTTCATCAAATCAAAATCAAAACTTGTTATGTCTCCTCAATAGCTATAAATGGGGTCTAAAAAGTGTTTTTAGATAATTTTGATGCACTGAATTTAAAAATATTTTTTTAAAAATAAATAAAAATATGATTTTAATACATTTTTAAGTGAAAAGCACATTGAAAAACAACTGCAACCATACTCCCAAACAAGCCTCTGAGGATATTATGCTAAAAGCTATTAATTCGAATATTTTTAGGCTAACCACAACTTTAAAAGCTATTAGGTTTTTATTGTTTAAATTTATTTTCATTTTAAATTGTGGTGAAAACTTGGATATAAAAAAAGCTATAATTTATATAGCTTTTCTCAAACCGTGATTATAAGAGTTATTATAATATCAAACATATACTTAATAATTATTTGTTCAATTTAGTTCATGAATGTGGATGTTATACTAATCTACTAGATTTATTGCTGAAGTAATGTTTATTGTGTTGCAAATTTCTCCTTGTATGATAGATAAATGTTCACATACATCTTTCTAATTAACAACTGATCTAAATATAATCATTTTTATAGAATTCACTTGCCTTCCATCTTGTGCATGTTTGCCCTAATTTGTATAAGTACTAGTAATAATCTAACATAATAGTGGCTTATTATCTGTTTTTTTGGAAGCAATGCTTCAAATCTTTAATTTTTATTTATATCCTTGCTTAAAATAATAATGATCACCATCAGCATCTTCATAATAACAACAATAATAATAATTAGTCAACTCTATATCCTTTCTTTTTTAAAAAAATAATTCAATATATATGTTTGTTTCTTATTGTTATTGAATTGTTTCTTATTATTGTTGAATAATTATTATTGGGTCGGAACTTTTGATATCATTTTTTTAATTTAAACCTCCATTTCAAAAATATTTTTGAAAAAAATTAGAAGTAAAATTTTTATTTTTTTCTTTGCTTTAATTTTTTTTTGTTTTCTAAATCATTTTAATATATAAATATCAAAAATAATTTTTTTTTTAAAAAAAAAAGAACATTACAGCGTTAGCGTCACCTCAACTGGCATTAAAGGTAAGATCGAAAAGACCGCAGCTTATGTTAATACAGTGATCAAATTGAAACAGTAGTGCCCTCACGTGTATTGATTATTGAACAAGGAAAAGGGCATTGGTACAAAAATACAGCGAAGACAGCCCTCAAGGACAAGCACCAGTTTGTCTGCTCCTCACAGCGAAAATAAGCCCCACACCCCTTGAAAACTCTGTCTGACTGGGAGGCAATAGAGATGAGGGAAAGTGCACTGACTTGTTCAAAAGAGATTTCAGTGGACGAGAATAATGTTTAGACAAGTGTATCAGCATCATAGGATAAAAACTTCATCTCCTTGCAACCGCGTGGAAGCTTCCACCAATCACAGACTTTGCAATTTTTTCTCATTTCACTCGGCAAATCCATCTTCTTTTTTCCCTCAACGAAGTGTCTCTCTGTGTGTGTATATAAGCATACACAGCTCAGGCAAACAGGAGTATCAAAACACAAGAACAACAAGTGCAAGAATGGAAGAACTCCCTCTAGGTTACCGCTTCTACCCAACGGAAGAAGAGCTGGTCTCCTTCTACTTGCATAATAAGCTGGAAGGGAGGAGACAAGAACTGCAACGTGTGATTCCAGAGGTCAGCATATACGACATCGAGCCAGGGGATCTTCCACGTAAAAATTTCATCCACTTCTTTTCTTTTTCTAACTACTGATAAGCATGGCACAGGGCTGTTAAAAATGCTTCAAGTGTTTGTCTCTCGCAATATGTTGCAGAGCTTTCAGGAGAACTATGCCGAGGCAACACGGAGCAGTGGTTCTTCTTTACACCCAGGCAAGCGAGAGAAGCTAGGGGAGGGCGACCCAATCGGACTACAGCAACCGGGTACTGGAAGGCCACAGGCTCTCCTGGTTATGTTTACTCATCGGATAATCGAGTGATTGGATTGAAGAAAACCATGGTGTTCTATATAGGAAAAGCTCCGAGTGGAAGAAAAACTAAATGGAAGATGAATGAGTATAGAGCCATTGAAGTTCATGAATCGTCTAGAAATGCTACTTCAAAGGTGTGCATGTTTATGATCTTTTAGCTTTTGCAATTAAAACAGAGTATTAATAATGCAACGTGCAGTCATTTTACATTACTAACCATTATTTGGCTGTCCACTTGAATGAAGTTGAGGCATGAATTCAGTTTGTGCCGTGTCTATGTGGTATCAGGAAGCTTTCGGGCTTTTGATAGACGGCCTCTAGAAGCTGTAACAAGAGGGACACAACATCTTCTCGGGGGGGCACATCTTGGTGATGCAGCAACCACACCTACTCAGGACCCTATAATTGTGGAGATGACAAGCTCACCTGAAACTTCATACTCGGGAGGAGACCATGTTGATTACCCAGGGACTGCAGAAAGTGCCAACTGGGGGCTGATCCTGCATGGGAATGACCGGAACAGCTGGATTGGCCCAGCACAGATAGATTTGTAACCTAGTCCGATAAGACTAGGTAGTTGTCCCAAGACAGAATAGGCATGCATGAGCCAGCCTTAACTTTAAAAGTAGTATATTCTTTTTTGTTCATTTAATACGAGGAAAGTAAAAAGGAATGAAAAAAAAGGGGGGGAAAGAAGAGGGAAATGCTCATGTTATGTGAAATAGGAGAGCATTCAGTATGACAATTAAGTTGAAGCATGTAGTTCAAAGTAACCAAGAGAATTACCAGGTGTAGGAGAAAATATCATTTACTGGCTCTAACCAGTTTCAGCTTTCAACCTATAATGATAGCGTCATTTATCTTTGTACAGTTTGAATATGTTACCATCTTAAATGCCTCCAATATTCCCCGCATTTTTAAATCCAAAAGCATAACTTGGAGGCTGGGAATCAAGGAAACTACAGTAATAGGAAAGAGAAATGTATAATATGATACAGTTGCCAAGGAGTTTGACGAGAAAAAAAGAAAAGATAAGGAATGGCATACGAATGTGACTTGAAAAATTCTAAAATGGAAAAGAAATAGAGAACCAAGAAGTTAAGGCATTGGCAAGTCTGACTTATCATCCAAAATGATTTCAAGAGAATCACGACCAAGTATAAATACTTACACAATGATAACTACATATAGGCCAGTGTCTAAGACATTTTATTGATACTATCAAGAATGATAGTGATAGTGTTCTTGCCACATTGAAAAATCATAACAGGTTCACATTTAAAGTTCAACAAAAAGGATGATTTACTTCCTAATAGTAAATGCAACATGGTAGAAAATTCACTTCCATTCTTTTACATTCATACAGTGATCAGTTCTGGTCACAAAAATCTTCCAACTTATAACAAGTCATTAATCAAGAAGTTTGTGATATCTAGCTACTTGAATGTTTGTAAAATGCTCTACCTTCAAGGCGGGCATGATTGAAGCAGAAGACTCAAGCCGCTAGCATAGAATAGAATTAGTCAAGCCTAATAGACCAACTTCAATATCTCCATTGTTTTGTAGTATTCATGATAAAGGGCTTGCAGAAATAAGTGTAATAATTAGCAGTCATGAAACAGATATCACCAAGTCTAAAGCATAGAGTTGCACAAGTGAGAGAAATGGCTTCCTGCCACAAATTGCACTCCAATGAGATTCCACACAAGTGTGTGTTTTAGTCAATATAGATTCTATCTGGAAATAATCTATACTTTCCATGGTGAGCCCTTTTCTTGTTTGAATAACCATCCATGATTGATATTTGGAGACCTGCATTTAGACATCTCCTAACTTCACCATATACACTGTTGGAGCCCTGTGCTATGCAGCTGAGCAGTAATCTGACATCAAGAAATCTGACACAAAATCAGGAGCATTGCAGCCATTCCACACAAAATCAGCAAGAGTGCAATCCCTCAAAACATGGATAATAGATTCAAGACAAAAACCACAGTGAAAACAGGAAGCATCATTTGTCATATGACGCCTAACATGCTGCTCATTGTTAAAATTTTGCCATAAAGAATCAGCCAAAGAAAACTATGAAAGTGTTGTGGACCATTCCAACTCCAAGCTAAATCCCAAACCTTACTAGTTGGATTTCAAGTACCTTCCTGAAGAAGACAGTAGGCTAATTTAGTTGTGAATTTTCCATTGCTAGTAGCACCCTATTAGTGAGTAATACAAAATTATTCTTAAAGCCTCACCTTATAACTTAAGAATTAAGGTAGTTTAAACTTTTGAGGAAAGATAATTATTTAACATGGTATTAGATTCTTAGTGACAACAATCAGGAATTTGAATCTCACCATCCTATTCTATCTAATTAAAATTATAAAAATCAAGCGTAAAATAGTGGGGGTCTTGTACAAGTTTCAAGTTCAAAAAGCTCGCTTGAGGGATTAGAGATTATGATACAGAGTAATATAAAACTATTGTTGAAACCTCACCTAAAAGCTTAGATTTTTGGATTGAGATAGTTCTTTGACACTCCCCACTATGACATCCCCATCCAAATCTCTACAAGGTAGTTGAATACTAGCTATCTTTAAATAAATAGAGGAAGAAAAGAGGAGAATCCTCCCATCACCATTGACCTAAAGGAGTAACATAGTTGTTGATAGTAGATTCTCTAAAACACACCTGGAATTGGAGTACACAAGTAAAGATAAAGAGGACCAACATTATCAATCAATCTATCTTGACAGAAACAAATACTTTTCCATTCCTTACAGACCAAGAGAACCCATGCAATAAATGAGGCCAAACTCTAGCAATACCTCTACATATTCCCGAATCGTTAGTCCCATTGAGAGTGTAAGGAAGAGAGGTCAACTTTTGATTATATTTCTGCTCAAAACTCGAACCCATAGAGCTGAACTGTTGGGGAAAAAAGTCCAGCCAAGTTTTAGAAGAAAAGCCTCATTATTATCTCCAACATTCCAAAATCCTAGGCCTCCACAAGCTTTCAGTTGACAAAGAGAATTCCAACCAACCAAACAAGGCTTACATTGTTTATCAAAAGAACCTCAAATAAACATTGATTGTGTGTAATCTTAATTGCACAAAAGTAGCTGCTAATGGTATTTCACGGGACATTTGGTTTGGCATAGCTGTGGGCAACTTTAGCAGTGGTGTAATCTCAAGCTGTTTGATCAAATGATTTCATTCTTTCCTCGAACCCTGTACAGCTTGAATGTGTATGCTTGTGAGGTAGTAGCTTGTGTATCTGAAGGTGCTAAATTCTCATCAATGACCAACTGGAAAGCAGAGCATCGGATTGAGTGGAGCTTTCCAGCAACAGGAGCTACACAATTTTCTTTCCAATAGGCTTAGGGCATTCAATACAATAGCTCACATGATTCAGCCCCACAATCGTAAGCTTTATTTGTGATGTGCCTATGCACTTAATACATATGATAGCTGTTTGATGAACCTAACTGAATTTACATGTGTTCTTAACATATCACCATTCCCATCTCTCTAAGGAAATAAGAGTAACCTAATGTGAGCCTTCTAAAAATTTCTTGGAAACATATCAACATGTTGAGAACCTCCTATATGCAAAACTCAGAGTCAACTAACCTCTGCTAATAATATTGTCGTCATATGAATTCCTAACTCAAACAAATGATCTGCAATAAGTTCAATTTCTGCACACTCTTTCCTAACTGAATCACCTCTACATCATATCTGGGTTGTGCACATTCCCGATACTGATACCTTCTAGCTAGATCATTGCAAATGATAATTACCGTTAAATCTGACTATTTTGGATATTTGTGATTTCCTAGATCAAAGCACAAAGAAGCATGTCGACAGCTTCCTCCTGAATTTCCTAGATCAGAGCACAAAGAAGCATGCCGTCAGCTTCCTCCTGAAGACTATTAGCACCTCCAAACTTGCTTTACACCAATCATGTGGATTCTCACTGCCAGGAAAACTATTTGCCAACATTTTGCAACTCATTCTTATATTTATGCATTAAACCATTTAATGTAACATCTAATTATTTTTCTACCAAGACTGCAGAGATATAAGGATAGATTATCATGCAACAAAAGGTATCATCTAACAATAGACTTGCTTTGATCTTGTAGTTGATCTTTAACACAATACAATAGCTTGGTGAAAGTGGAAATATTGGTTAAGGCAAAGCCTTTTCTAGGACATTTGATGCCAATCCACTAGAAATAAACACATTGGCAGAAATTAAAGGTGAACCTAAGGGAAAAGAAAATCCATGGAAATTTGAGGGAGCTTCTAGAAATTCCTTGGTTGCATTCCATTCGTGTGAGTGAAGAAAGCTCAATGTTACAGTCACGCATTGGAAATCCCACAACACAAACACTCTTAGCAGTTTTTTAGGTTACTCCTTATTGCTTACTGGCCAGGTATAGTGGAAACATTTTTCTGCCAATTAACTTCATATTTGAAGCACTCAAATGGGAGCATTAATTTTCATGAGAATTGTATCATATTAAAGGTAATTTATCGCACCATCTAACCCTTTCCTGCATCAGATATGGCATAACAACCAAGACCGTAACTTTCCTAAAATTTACAATGGAGTCATCATTCTAAAATCAGAAACAAGGATTAGCATTTGCACCGCATCCAAATCAACCTGTTTGACTAGTGAGCCAGTCATGTAACATCAAAATGTTTATATATATATATATATATATAGATAGATATATATAAATTCACCAATTACAAACTCACAAGAGGAATATGGATTTAATGTCGACCCCATTAAAAACTCAACTTTTCGAAAACTAAAACTCAACCAGATTTGAATTTTATGTCAACCCCATATTCCCATCGCTGACTTTTGTTCATACACCACTTCCATCGACAATAACTGAGTACCAACCCCCATATTAGAGAATCTCATGATCAACTTTCCAACCCCTTTCAACATTAAAACAAAATCCAATAGAATTCAAGAACAGCCTTTTTGTTTCCATTTTGGAATGAAAGAATTGAAATTGTCAGTGATTTCTCTAATTTTTCCCAACTTTTGGGTTGCCCATATAGAATAATTAAAAGAAGAAAAAAAAGTGCTCTGTGACAACTTCTCTTCAGCAAAAAATAAGCATTTTCCTTCCTCCAAAATTCAAGAAGGAAACAGAATGTTAAACCAGAAAGCCAGCGAAAATTCACAAACACAAAAACAATCATGTCGTATAACGAGTAACGAACCTACTTATTATATCTAAAACTCTTCAATGTAATATAACTCGCAACCAAACCAAACCCCACATGCATTACACCAACACTCTTAAGATTGAATTAGTACATCAATAAAATGTTGAATCACAAACATGATAATCCAACCTCTCTTTATTGCCAGCAAGAGGAGAGCATGAGGATCCAAAAGGCATTGTCAAAATCAACACGAACAAGAGAAGACATATCTCACAGATTGTTTTGCCGTTTCTTTTGCAAAAGAAAAACTTAAAGAAAGAAGAAGAGAGTCACAAGACTTGCAACCAAATCAAACCAACCACGAGAGAGAGGACTGAGTTAGGCAGGGGACAACGAAGGAGCGCTGCCCTTTCTGTGATTTGACGATTCAGTATATACAGGCGGGATTGGTTGCCTGGCTATTGCGTTTTGCCTGTGAAAAGAATAAAAAATTGATATTTTTTTTTAATATAAAAATAATAAAATAAAATCTAAATCAAACTAATATAAAAATAATAAAATAATAAAATAAAATCTAAATCAAACCATAAAAAATTAACTATATAATGATAATGATTATAATAATAATGATAATGATAAGTTAAAAAAAATTAAAATGTAAAATTAATGTAAAGATTAAATAAAGATAAAACAATTATTCAGGTTAAAAGATCTACTAATAATATTTCAAACAAGCATAGTATAAACTCATTTTATTACTTAACTGGAAACCATACAAAGAAGGTTACAATCAAATTATAAATTATTAACATAATTATATTAGTTATCTTATTTGAATAATATTAATACTTGTAAATATTATCAGATATTTAGGATTATAATTTATAGTAACAATAAATCAAGTTCCTTTCATAGCATAAGTGTTGATTATACCACACGGTTGGGCTATGAAAGTGTTAAGTATTTATTGTACCAGGTGTTATATAATATAAATCTAAATTAATCACTTAACATACAAAGTATTAAAAAATAACAAGATAACAAATACAAAACATGTAAATATCAAACATTAAGATTCATATTGAGTTTATACTATACTTATTCTTACACCATTAGTTTAACCTTTTCACATTAATATAATAAACTTAACTAAACATAATAAAAGAACAAAACATGAATAAACAAGATAAGAATATAAATAAGATAAAAGTTATCTAAGTAAAGAAAATAAAATAAAAGGCATAAATAATAGATTAATATAAGTAAAACCTAAGCATTACAATAAAGAGAGAGTAAGAACATGATCTTGATATGAAAATCAAAATGTCTAAATGCATGATAAATACCTTCTTTTATAGGCCAAAATTTGAAAACTATTGATTTCTTAACTAATTGTTCAGTGGGTGGCTCCAACTTGACTTAGTAACAATCCTTATCTTCTTGTCTAAACAAAACATTATTGATAACATCAGAATTTGAACAGACTTTATTCATGAAAATTCTAGAAAATTGTTTCAGCTTTCCAAAAAAAAATTGAGATCATTTGGACTTTTAGAACTCAAGATATGGGTTGAACACTGAACAGTTTCTGGACTGTAGGACAAATTCGGACTTCTCTGTTGTTGCTAAAATTTGGACTTCTAAATAGCAGAATTGAGTTTTGCATTCATATGAATGTTTTATGCCTATGTCTTAGCTTTCTAGCCATATAAATCAAATTGAAATCCAAATCTACAGCTCCAGATATGACCTAATGACTGAATAGTGTTATAGTTTGAACTAAACTAGCATATCTTTTCTAACCTTCACCCTCTTTTTGTTTTCTCAATTTCAATAGTTAAACTCATCGATCAATCATTTGATTTATATGATAGACCTGCATTTAAAATGAATATTTATCATAAATTAAAGATATCTTATAGTATCAAATTTGTTATTATAAAATATACTTTATGTTATTATAAAACATGTTTTAGTTAAGAAGTTATTGATACTTCAAGTGCAAAATTTGATATAAAATTTTGATAAAAATGCATTGTTAAGTACTAATCAGTTTGCTACCATTAGAAGAGAGCTCGATCATTATCATGTAAAGACAGGTAAAACTTCACCCCAGTCATTTTCTTTCTTGGCTTGCGCTCTAGCTTGGCCATTGTTGTTGTTGTTTGGATACCAAAAACAAAAAAAAAACATAAAATTGAATACTACCACAATAGCTTTTGAAAATAATAACTCTTGAAAAATCTTGAGAAAATAAAATTGATAAAAACTCCAAAACACTTTCAATCTTTGAAGCTTTTGTTCATAATATTTAACATAAAATTTAAAATACATAAACTTTTACATAGAGATTATAGAACAAAAATAAACTCAAATTATTTTATTCCAACAAGGATTTGAAATACTAGTTAAACAAAGATTTTAAACTCAAATATTTTTTTATCTAGAAACTTTTTTAAACTCAATTAGTAATTTTTCTTCTACCTTAACAATTTTTTTTTAAACTAATGTTCTTAAACACATAATTTACCAATAATGAACTCTACTTTAAATCAACTTTACTTCAACCAAACTCTTCTTGAATGCAAATATCAAATAATATTTGCACAAATAACTTTAAACTTGATGAATATATTAACAATTTTTCTTTACTTTTGCAATAAATGATATTTAATTGTTTTATACTTTATCAAATCTCTTAAGAAGTGAGAGTTTACAACAATATATTTGCTTCTACCATGTAAAACTAGATTTTTAAATAGTTTAATTGTTAAGTTATTGTCATAAAAAATTACCTGGCCATTGTCCCTTAAAATTAAATTTTTCAAGATTTTTCCTCAACCATATTGCTTGACGTGCATATAATGTCATAATCATAATTTCAGTTTTCATGGTTGATAAAATTACAATTGATTGCTTCTTTTATCATCTTGATCTCCTATATAAATGTTATCACTAAAACCAGTCAAATTGGACTTTTCTCATTTCTTGTATAGCAATACATGTACTATAATACCTTTCAAATACCAAAGTATCCTTTTAGCAATAAGAAGATAAATTTATGTTGGATTCTTCATGTATCAACTAACAAGAATTACTAAATACATATATCTAACCTTGTTAATGTCAAATACATCAAACTCTCTATATTCTACTTGTAAAGAATTTCATCAACCTTCTTTCATTTATAATCTTTATTTATTTTCAAACCAAACTTTGTTAATGTATTCACCAGATTACAATTCTTCATTTAAGACTTTGCTAATGTTTCTCAAAGATATTTATTTTAAGAAATATTTTGGCATTTGATTGAACCATTTTAAATTTAAGAAAGTAATGTAACCTTTTACGTTCAAACATATCAAACTCAATCATCATAGATATTTTAAATTTTGCAAACATGGCCTCATCATTACCAATGTAAATTGTTGTAATGTCATGGTCACATAAATTGATTACCCTAACTTAAACAAACAAGAGAGTACTGAGCAAGTAAATGGTCAATCCATTTATATCCTCCAAAAAAAAAAGAGTCATTTTCAAAGTAGATAATTTTCATTTTAGTAAGTTGGACTTGATTCTTCATACAACTTGTCTACTAGCAGAATTTATAGGTTTTCTTAAAAAAACTCATATCTCTCTCATATGAACTCCTTTTCCTCTAACATTTGGTAGG